TGGGTGCACTTACCTACATGCAGGCAATACATGCATACACATAAAATTAAAATAATAATAAATAAATAAATAATAAATAAATAATGTTTAAAGCAACATTTTCTGAAAGATGGAAATCACCATAAAAAAAAGCAAAAACAACTTAGTTTCTGAGAGTGTTTCTGTCCAAGAAAGAAAAATTTAGAAGAATGTGAAAGGATAAAAAGGGATCTTTCTATTGTTACTGGGTATGTGACATCTTCAGACTTCAGGTGCCACTTATCTTTTTTTGTTTGCTTTTTGAGACAGCATTTCTGACTGGCCTGGAACTTATTAAATAGGCTAGACTGAAGAAAGGCCGAAGGATCTGCCTGACCCCACCTCCCAAGCACTGGGTAATAAGCATGTATCACATCAGTATGGGTTCTGGAAAGGAAACTCAAGTCCTTTTGTAAGCAACTTACAGACTGAGCTATCCCCCAGCCTGTTTTGTTTTTTTGAAGCATGGTCTAGGCTACCTTGCCCTTCTGTTTCTCAAGCCTCTGCCTCCTGATGATTACAAGTATAAATAACCACATCCAGCTTTGCTTTTTGATTTTAGTAAACTACATAGAACACTATCTCTCTATATTGTAGGTCAGTAAAATCATGAAAAATAAAACCTTAGAGAAATAAGTAGCTAAGAAGAGTTAAAATTAAGGGGAAGGAATGAGGAGGTGAAAGCATCACAGAGAAAGGACATTACTACTCTAAACCAGATTAAAATTGCCACTGCCAGGAAGGTCCACCAAACCTCCTGGCTGTACTTTATACATGTCAACTTTAGTAGCTGCTTTTTGTTTTATTTTGTTTGGGGGAGGAAGTTGAGACAAGGGTCCACGTAGCCCAGGCTAGCCATGAAGTTGTGTTCTTCCTGCCTCTACCTCCAAAATGCTGGGATTACAAGCATGCACCACCACACCTGGCATGTATCAGCTTTAGGGCAGTACCTTCAGTATAACAGCACCTTCACTATTACATGTTCAAGTTAAATAACTGCAAAATACGCCTATTTTCTGCCATAAAACTATGCTATCTTTAAAACAGCTCTAGGATCTACAATAGAACTCACTGCTAGTAACACTATTAAGTCTATTAATTAACAGCTATTCCAAAAAAGCCTTCAGAGGACAAGCTACTACATACAGTGTCAATCATGTTTTTCTGAATAGTCTTCTTGACATCTTGAATTTTCTGTCCTTTAAATCCATCTACCAGCATTACCTAAAAGATGAAAAGGGGAACATATAATTAAAATCTACTTTGAGTTTCCCCCTCAAAGTTTCCCTAAATAAATTTATTTAACTCCCCAAAGCAAAAATATTTTAGAGTCAAATTAATCACATATATAATCGAAACTCTTACTTTATCATTTTTTTAAAACGATTTACTTATTCATTTATTATGTATCCAAAACTTTTATTTTTATATAGCTGACACAACTAGTCTTCCTCCAAAGTTAACTGGTCTAGTCAATTTGTTTTTCTTGAAGTGTAACTGGGTTTAGCATGCTTGTCTTTAAGTATAGCAACTATGAGCATGACTGAGAAGCTACACTCACCTCCACTTCTCAGGTTAACACATGGAGAAATCCATACCAATAACATTCATGGTTTGAGAAGGAGCTAAGCATACATCCTGCTTAGGCTTCTCTTTCCAACCCTGCCAGCTGTAGGCTGCTGCAGGTCTAAGGTCTTTCAATGTCACCTTTTATTCAGTGGTCAAACTTAATAGGGCAAAGTACTGACTGATCCTTTGTTGCCACAGATCTAGGTCATATTCTTCCAAAAGCTGTCTTTGGTAAAAAGGTCAGACTTTGGCATTTACATGTCTGACTGTTGTGCTACTGATAAATAGCTCATGTTTCAGGTGGGAAAGACATACACTACTTTTGATCTTCTAATTCCCTAAATAACAAATGTGTCATTATTTAGTATTATGAAGTTATCGTAGTAGTTAACATCACAAATCCTGGGGGCTGGAGAGGCAGCTCAGCAGTTAAGAGAACTGGCTGCTCTTGCAGAAGGCCCTGGGTTCGATTCCCAGCACCCACATGGTGGCTGACAACGTCTGTTACTCCATTTCCAGCAGAATCTGTCACCCTCTTCTGACTTCTGTGGGCAATGAATGATTCAAATGCACTTATACAAATGCAGGCAATACACATTAAATAAAACATAATAAATATTTTTTTTAAAAAAGATCACAAATCCTGGAGCTAACTCCAAATCCAAGTTTTGCCATGAACTATCTGGCTGGTCTTAAGTTAAATATGAAACTTCAATTTTCCCATCTGTAAAATGGAGATGATAGTGTCCACTTCACAAGGTTATTTTGGGAATGAAATAAGTTAACATATATAAGTGTTGGTTCTCACTATCACTCAAAATACACAATTCACTTAAAAAAATACCAATTTTTGAAATTTTATTTATTATTTTTATATTATGTTTATGCATGTATTGCCCGCATGGAGGTAAGAGTACCCGTGTCGTGCAATGCCCACGGACATCAGAAAAGGCTGTTAGATCCCCTGGAACTGGAGTTATGGACAGTTGTTAGTTGCCATGTGGGTACTGGGATTCAAACCTGGGTCTTCTGCAAGAACAACCAGTGTTCTTAACCACTGAGCCACCTTTCCAGCCCCCAACATGCCAATTTTTAAATTAAAAACACCATCATTGATATCCTTGAAAACCTTGAAATCCATTGATATTCTTTTCAACCTCATGTGTATAACATCTAACTGAATTTTCATTTTCTCTAACCTAGTCTCCTTCCCGTAGAACTCTAAGCCAAACAGGCAGAGCTGAGAGAACAGGCTCCTTGGGTTCACTTGACATTTAGAAGGCAACAACAAGCAAATTAATAGAC